TGGATCCATTCATAGGAGCTCGTGTGCAAGAGAACCACAACAAAACAATGTTGCAGAAAGAAAGAATAGACACCTCCTTGAGGTAGCCCAAGGGATGATGTTACATATGAATGTTCCCAAACGATTTTGGGTTGATGTTGTACTTGCTGTTGCTTATGTCATAAACCGCATGCCTCTAGAGTGTTAAAATACAAGGCCCCTCATCAGTTATTGTTTCCTCAGTCTCCTTTATTTTCCATTCCCATGAGGGTGTTTGGTTGTCATGCTTTTGTCCATGACTTATCCCCGTCCCATGGTAAGTTGGATCCTCAGTCTATTCCATGTGTCTTTTTGGGGTACCCCTCCTCGCAAAAGGGTTACCGGTGCTTTGATCTTGTTGGTCATAAGTTCTTTGTCTCCATGGATGTCTCATTTTTCGAGTCTGAACCATTCTTCCCTACTTCTCCTCAGGGGGAGAGTAATGCGGAAGAGGAGAAGTAGCTCCAAGTTCGTCAAGTCTCCCTTCCTTCTATTCAGGACCCCACTCCTTTTCGTGTCTTCCAACGTAAACGCCGTAGAGATCAGCAATGTGACAAAGATGTGGAGCCACCAAACACTGAGCAACCAACACTATCTAATTCCTAGGAGGTAAGTCCAACACATGTTGATCCCCTAGCTCCCATTTCGGTTGTGGATGATCTTGACATTCCTATTGCTCATAGAAAGGGGGTCAGGTCATGCACTACCAAACACCCCATTACCCAGTATGTTTCCTATGACCACATTTCCTCCTCTCACCGTGCCTTCCTATTTGTAGTTGATAGTATTGCCATACCCAGAAACGTGGCAAAGGCTTTAAAATATTCTGAATGGACAGATGCTATGAAGGAGGAGATCAATGCCCTCCATAAGAATCAAACATGCAAGTTGGTGGATCTTCCAACAGGGAAAGATCCAGTGGGGTGTAAGTGGGTGTTTACAGTGAAACACAAGGCAGACGGGATAGTTGAAAGATACAAAGCAAGACTGGTAGCTAAAGGGTACACCCAAGATTATGGTGTTGACTATGATGAGACATTTTCTCCAGTAGCTAAGATGAATTCAATACGGGTTCTTCTATCATTGGCTGCAAACTTTGACTAGAAATTGCATCAACTGGATATAAAGAATGCCTTTTTTAAATGGTGATTTGGTGGAGGAGGTTTACATGATTCAACCCCTAGGTTTTTGTGCCAAAGGAAGTGAAAGTAAGGTGTGCAAACTAAGAAAGTCCCTCTATGGTCTAAAACAATCTCCTAGAGCATGGTTCAGTAAATTTCATATGGCGGTTCAACAAGTAGTGTTCAAGCAATGTCAGTCTGATCACACTCTCTTTGTGAAGAGATGTCAAGAACAAGTGGTTGTGCTGATAGTGTATGTAGATGATATCATCATTACAGGAAATTGGAGCACAGAAATACAAAAATTGAAGGAATTCCTAGCCTCTCAATTTGAAGTGAAAGATATGGGTCCCCTAAGTACTTTCTTGGAATTGAGGTTGCCCGCTCAAAAAGGGGCATATTCATTTCTCAGAGGGAGTATATCCTAGATCTGTTACAGGATACAGGCAGGTTAGGTGTAAAACCAGTAGATACCCCTATGGATGTTGACAATAAACTAGGAAATTGTGATGGTGAACCACTAAAAGATGTGAAACAGTTTTAAAGATTAGTGGGAAGGTTGCTTTATTTGTCCATGACATATCCTGACATTGCTTACTCAGTTGGGGTCCTAAACCAATTCATGCATTCCCCTAAGAGACCACACATGGAGGCAACAGAGAGGATTCTAGGTATTTGAAGAAGTATCCAGGAACATGGTTTCTATTCAGCAAACATAATCATCTTAAAGTGGAAGTCTACACAGATGCTGACTGGGCAGGTGCTGTGGATGAAAGAAAGTCCACAAGTGGGTACTGTACATTTGTATGAGGAAATCTAGTGACATGGAGAAGTAAGAAACAAAGTGTAGTGGCAAGGTCAAGTGAAGCGGAGTATAGAGCTATGGCACATGGGGTGGCTGAAGTTCTTTGGTTGAAGAACCTTTTAGGGGAACTTGGGGTTATTGTCCACAATCCTATGTCCCTCCACTGTGACAATAAGGCAGTCATTAACATTGCTAGTAATCTAGTCCTACATGATAGGACCAAGCACATTGAGGTGGACAAGCACTTCATAAGAGAAAAATTGGAAAAGAGAGAAACTTGTACTCCTTATGTCAAATCCAAGGAGCAATTTGCTGATATTCTCACAAAAGGGCTTCCACACCTGCAGCACAATGAACTGTGTGACAAGTTGGGCATGATAGATATATTCAACCCAACTTGAGGGGGAGTGTTGTTAGATTTAAGTTTTTTACTTATGCTGTTAGAATGTTGTCAGCTAGGCTGCTGTCAACATGTTCTTTTCTTTATTTTTAGGGTGTGCCGCTAGAGACCTACTTGTAATTTCTTTACATCTTATTTGTTACATCACATTAATATAAAATAGAAGCTGCATGCCGCCAGCACTGATCTTTTGACTGTCACATTTTTTCTTCCTCTTCTCTTCTCTCTCTTCTTCCTCTTTTCTTGTAAGAGAACAGTTATCTTATTACCCACCTGAACCCAACACAAGTCTATAATCACAAGTGGCTCCGCCACCAATTCCCTTTCATCTGTGAATTGAGGTAAGGTGGAACTAGCAACAGCAGAGCTGGGAATGCATGGCTTGAGCAATGATACATGAAAGGTTAGTGTAGCTTGGAGCCAGGAGAAGGTCAAACTGGTAAAGCTACTTGGCCCACTCTTTCTATTACCCAAAAGGGTCCAAAGTAACATAGAGAGAGTTTATACCAAGCTCTCTGGACCAGAGAAGACTGGTGGTAAGGCTGGAGTTTCAAATATACCAGATCACCAACTGCATATTCTACATCTTGATGCTTCTTATCATAAATTGACTTCATTTGTTGTTGTGCCTTTTGCAGGTGCAGCTTGAGAGGGGATGCCATCTCAAGCTAATAACTGAGCATCTACTTCAGCCATAGCTGGAGATCCCTTCTCATAAGGCAAGAGACCTGGGGCATCTCATCCATAAGCAATGTGGAGTGGAGTAGTTCCTATAGAGACATGGTATGATGTGCTGTACCAATACTTGGCCCAAGGAAGCCATTGCACCAATTCCTTAGGCTTGTCTTCCACAAAGCACCAAAAATAGGTTTCTAAGCACCTACTGACAACCTGTGATTGCCCATCTATTTGAGGATGGTAACTTGTTGAATGAAGAAGATCCATCCCTTGGACTGTTAAGTATGCTTCCCAGAACCTGCTCATAAACAGTGCCACAGTGGGTCACAATTTGTAACAATAGTGGTGGGTGTGCCATGCAGTTTAACTACTGATCCACGACCATTAACACTACTGATTTACCAGCTGATTTGGGCAATCATGAAATAAAATCCATAGTGATTTCCTCCCAAATCCCTTTGGAAATGGGTAGAGGTTGCAATAGCCCTGCTAGAGACTGTAAGGTATTTTTGCTGTTGGCAGGTGTGGCAAGATGCAACATAGCCTTGCACCCTCAATTTCATATCTAGCCAATAATAATGAGAAGCAAGGTGCCTGTAGGTACGTAAGGTTCCAGAGTAACCTCCAATGGCAGAAACATGAAACAACTTGAGAAGTTGTTGGTAATAGGCCAAATTCTGGACTAGAATGAGTCAACCCTTCTAGCCAATAGAGTGGTTGCCTGTGTCTTATAAAGGGCAAAAATGGTATTTTTATTTTTATTTTCTTTTGATTAAATTTATTTAAATGAACATTAGGGTCAACACTGCCATTTTCCACTGTCATCTAATGGAAGATTGATTAAATCCATTGCAAATTATAAGTGGTGTTTTAGTAAAATTTTAACTATAGGGTAGATTTTAGTAAATCCATGAAACTATAAGGGGTATTTTAGTAAATGACCATTTCTATTATTTAACTTTCGCTTAATAAATCTCATGCATCGCACGGGTCCCCGCTAGTTATATCTAATAAAAGAGTTTTAGGGAACTGAAGAGAGGATCGATCAGCTCTCTTCTTTCTTCCTCTTTCTTCCATTCTCCTCTTCTTCTAAACTCTCTTCTTCCACCTTCTTTTCTTTCTTTTTGGTTTATTTTCACATTTATTGCAGGTGTGATTTTCAACTGCTTCCTTCTATATACAAGTTTGAATTGTTGGTCCCCTGAAGTGGAGCTAGTCCATATTCCCTCCAGTACTGCATGTTTACCCAGGCCTTGACACTATTATTTATGGGCTCAACTGGGCTTCTAACAACATCCCCCTCCTTGAGTTTAACCTTGTCCTCAAGGTTGATATGGGGGAATTCATGTTGTAACTTCTCATATGATTCCCAAATTTATGCAAGATTGCCTAGCCAGAGAGGCCTGATTTTCCTACTGAAGTTGGCAACCCATAAGGAAATCCATTGAAATGTCTTCCCACATCTATATGGGAATGAGAAGCAGTTGGAGGATACCTGCTGGACACTGGGTATCATACTTGGATGTTGGCAAGTAACAGAAGTAGCCACAAATTCCTGAACTCCTCTTTTGATACCCAGCCAATGGGTTGCTACCTACTGATATATCTGGAGTACATCAGAATACCCGCTGGATGGTGAAGCATGGAAAAGCTACAAGAGTGTGGGTATAGGGGTAGTGTTGGTAGAAAGTACTAGTTGCTCTTAAAAGTAGAGAGTAGAGTCCTCCATGGATTTGATTTCAAAGGTGGGTCCTCCAGCCTTTTTATCAATGGTCCATAGCAGCATTAGTATTTCTGGTTTCACAGGTGTCCCCTGTAGTGTCTGGATTTGATTGATGACCCATTCTACCCAAGTTGCTCATTAGGGGAAGAATAGTAAACAGAAAAAGTACCGATATGCATAGTGCATAATGAATAAAATGAGCACAAATAAGTACTTGACAGTTGATACCACTAAGAAAGAAGGGTTTCATCATACCACAGCATAAGGTTCTTCAGAATGAACTAATGAAGCTTGAGCAATATCACTTAATGATGCCATACCCCTTCCTTTACTTGGTGTAGACACACATTGCAACTTTATTTGGCATGTTTCATCTGTCATATATGACATATATCAATTCAAAAACCAATAAAAGGTTACACTTTACGATATGACATAATAGAAATTTGTTAGACAAAGCAATACATGCCAACTTCTAATGAGACCTTTTTTAATGAAAGATCAACTTCTATGATACCTGGATACCTGTATACAAATTGTTGGTCTTCAGGATTCTGACCTTGATTTCTAACAGATTAGACAAAATTGTGATATCTCATAGGAACTGTTGTAGTAGGCGTCATACCATTGATGTACTGTTTTTATGTTCTTTCTATGCTTGGGGTAGTTCTGTCTTTTCCCCATTTTTTCTTATGGTGGCCTATTATAAATTATAAGAGGGGCTTCTGTCCATTCACATTTTTTACTCCAAATCATTATCTGTTGTTCTCTCTCTTCTAAGAAAATTCAGACTGATAAGATGGTATTAGAGCAACAAATCTGAAGTTCTGAACAAGGCACACTTTCCTGTGCATCCATCCTTTTTTTAATCAGCAACAAAGAAAGAAATTGATTCATTAAGATTTTAAAAGTTTCAATAGTTCAACAAGAGTTGTGGAAACGAAAAGAACAAAATCAATATAAAAAAAAGAAGAAAAAACCCACCATCCTTTTTACAATTGAGCCCAAAATATTTGTTGCTCATTAACCCCTTGTTTGGCCAAGGAATTTGCAGACCTCCGTACACATCTGATTTGTACTTGCATGTCTTTAAAAAACCACTTGAACCACCTTAATTCATTTCTGAAATTCCACATCATGTTTTTTCCCTTCTTTATCCATCCAAGTACCACCTTCGAATCCCCTTCAATCATCAAACTTTCAATTCCCATTTCTTTAGCTTTTTGCACCCCCAACAAATGCTGCTGATAGTTCTACCCATATAGAATCACTATCTTTGGTTGGACCTAAAAACATTACACATATGGTTCCCTTCTCATCCCTTATCACTTCTCCAACTCCAGAGGGCCCTGGATTACTGCCATCAAAATTTAACTTTTTTTTTTTGATCGGCAACTCAAGAAAATTGTATTAAAGAACAAAAAGGAACAACAATAAGTTGTTACGCCGAAGACCCTTTACAGCAAAGAATCCCCACACATTTAACATTGAGCCCAAAACAAATGCTGTCTAGAGTTCCTTGCTTAGCCAAACAATCTGCTAACTCATTTGCAGACCTCCTAACCCATCTTACATGGATTTACATATCTCTTGATATCATGTTGAATATTCTGAGATCATTTCTGAATTGCCATAGAGCCCCTTCTCCTTTTTCAACCGGCCAACAACTATTTTGGAGTCCCCTTCAAGAATCAGCCTAGTAATTCCCATATCCTTAGCTTTTTGCACCCCAATAATAGCAGCCAAAAATTTAGCTCTCACTGATTCACCTTGATCAATAGGACCTGAATACAAGGCACATATATTTCCATCTCATCTTTGAACACTTCACTAATACCGGAAGGCCCTGGATTGCTAAAGATACTTCCATCAAAGTTCAGCTTCATCCAATCACCACTTGGGGTCTCTTGACAATAAATCCGATTGAAATATGAGGAAGTAGAGAAGAGAAGGAAAGAAGAGAGAAAGGAGAAGGAATAAAGGAAGAAGAAAAAGTTTGGAGCAATAGAACTGTGGTGGCGGCGCCAGCTTTTATTATATTATATAGGGCGGCAGAAATAAGAAGGGAAAAGACCCTTGTGCCCCTGCTGTAAGTGAGTACAATAACAGAAATAACAGAAATAAAAAACGCTTTAACTAGCCAAAACAGACCCTAACACAAATAACAAAATTATTTCAACACTCCCCCTCAAGTTGGAGCATAGATGTCAATCATGCCCAACTTGTCACACAAATCATTGTGCCGCACATGATGAAGACCTTTGGTGAAGATATCTGCAAGTTGTCTTGTGAGCTGACATATGGAGTACATACTTCTCCATTTACAAGTTTCTCTCTAATAAAATGCTTGTTCACTTCAATGTGTTTCATCCTATCATGCAAGACTGGATTAGCAGTAATATTGATGGCAGCTTTATTGTCACAGTAGAGTGACATAGGATTGCTCACTGCAAAACCCAGTTCACCTAACAGATTTCTTATCCACATGATTTCAGCAACCCCATGAGACATCGCTCTATATTCTGCTTCAGCACTAGAT